CAGTAGTTGTCAAGCACATGAACGCATTCACACTGGTGAGAAGCCCTATACATGTAAACAATGTGGGAAAGCTTTCACTCATCGTAGTAGTTGTCAAGCACATGAGCAGATTCACACTGGAGAGAAGCCCTACACATGTAAACACTGTGGGAAAGCTTTCACTAGTCATAGTAATTGTCAAACACATGAAAATACTCATACTGGAGCAAAACTGTATACATGTAAACAATGTGGGAAAGCTTTCAGGCAACGCCGTAATTGTCAAGCACATGAAATAATTCACACTGGAGAGAAACCCTATGTATGTAAGCAATGTGGGGACGGCTTCACTAGTAAAAGTTCATTTTATGTACATAAAAAGAGTCACACCATGGAAAAACCCTATATATGTAAGCAATGTGGGGAAGCCTTCGCTAAATACAGTTCACTATATAGACATAAAAGGAGTCACATTGTGTAGAAACCCTATGCTATGTATGAAATCAATGAAGGAAGGCTTTCATCAGCCACCATCACTGAAAAATACTTGGGGGGAAGACCTTCTGTATGTAAGAAATGCATAAAATTATTCAGTTACTCTTGTAATCATAGCTCTTAAAAGTATCACAGGAAGTTAACTGTAATAGTTCCACAGGTGAATACAATTATTTATGTGTTAGTAGGTTTAATATCTTTGTTGACTTTTTGTCTTGTTTTTAATGATTGTGGAGCCCTGAAATTCTAATTTTTGTTAATTGTCATTTTCCCACTATATGCTCCATAAATTCTTGGTATGTGCCTTTTATTCTTTCCAATGTAGGCTTCAAATTGGATGTCATATTTTATAGTTATGTTCTATATTTTAAAAATATTTTCTATGTTTTACACTGTGTTCAACTATTTTCAAAAATCTGTTTTCCATATTCTCTGAAGGTATCTATCTGTATCCTAACCTAATTATAGGTTACATATGGTATATAATTTTGCCTGTTTTTTGTTTTATTTTGAGAGCCATTAGTAAGTATATCCAGTTTTAAGCATTTGTTTTACTACAAATTTTATTTTCATGCTTATATTGAAATGATTTATTTTGGTGATAACTTTTAGATCAGTTGTATCTAAAAGACATATTGCTGTGGGTCACCCACAGCTGGAGACCCCAGAAGGAGTGTACACTTTCTGAAACAGGAAATAATAAAGTACACTAAATATTCTTTTCACAAACTGAGTTTATGATTGATCAGTAAGAACATACTCAAAGAATTTTTCCCCCCAAAGGAATTTTGACAGGGTTGAAGTTTGAGAGGATGACCTGTATTCTTTATCATGAAACAGAATCTTTTATTCTGTTCCAAATGGTATATGCAACATATATCATTTGGTCTTTGTTAACCATTCTTTTTTTTTTTTTTTTTAAGCAGGAAATTTATTTTTTTTATTCTTTGTATTTAGTACAGAGTCTATAAAGTCTCACTGTGTATATTGGACTTGTGCTTCTCTTGTTTTCAGGCTCCCAAGCACTGGGATTAAGGGCATGTGCCACCACGCCCAGTCTCTATCACTGTCTCAGTGCGCCACAGGGGCAGGGCTGGCACAGCACATGGGATCGAATCCCAGCTGCTGCTCTCTGTTTAAGCAGGCACTTTAGTCCGCTGAGCTATCTGGCCAGTCCTTTATGCAAGAAATTTAAATAATAGCATGAAATAGAATCTATTTCATGGAAAATATTAATGTTTAGTAAAAGGGAAAATTTTAATTTTACAATTCAAATTATGTTCTATTTTACTAACTTTAGAGATAAATCTACATTATGCCCTTTATTATCATCAATAAGGGCACCTCTCTGATGGCTGTGGTGCTACTCACTTTTAGCCACTTAAAGACTTGTAAAAGCTATCCATGTGAGACTGCCTCTGGAATCCTTGACTTTGCATTTTCTGTAAAGCCCGAGGTAAGTTGAAAACATAAGTGAGAAATGCATTAAAGATTTCTAATGTACTAAAGAGTATGCATTATCTTATTTATGCTCAGCTACTGAAATTGGCCAGTAGGTGGTCAGTGCCAACAAAACTTAAGTCTTTTGTAATGAAATATGAAATCTTTCATGTAATTCCTGAAATGCAACACACTAGAAGATAGTGTGTTTGTTTGCTTTAAACACCATTGAGCATGTGGCTAATTTCACTGCAGCTCATTTCTAATTTTCATCATCAGGAATTTGTTTTGTGCATACTGTTATTCCAGCCTGAGGTGACATGGCAAAACTAGAAGATATTTCATATTGAACACATCTACTCAGATAACATTTTAGCATCCAAAAACCTTGCTGGTCTTGTGGATCCCGTCTGTGAACTCACACACTGTGGCCGGCTGATGTGGGGTAGGATTTCAAGGTTTACACCAGCCTGAGCAATTTAGGGAAACCTTATCTCAACCTAAAATAAAAACAGACCACTATGGTGTAGCTTTCTAGTACACTTGGGTAAAAGTTTTGTGTTTTAATAAAGAATAAACACCTATATTTCATTTATTCCTTCAGAATTGTTATATTTAACTCACTGCTTATATTAGATGATTATTTGTTAGTATTGCGTTTTGTCATTGCTTCTGTTCTCGCAAGCTTTCCCTCCATTTTACAAAGTTTGTCAAGCGCAGAAACACAGGCCTCCGCCTGGCCGTGAGCCTCACCGTGGAGAGCACGGGCTTCTGCCCAGCTGTGAGCCTCATTGCAGAGAGCACGGGCCTCCGCGCGGCCGTGAGCCTCACCGCGGAGAGCACCGGCCTCCGCGCGGCCGTGAGCCTCATCGCGGAGAGCACGGGCCTCTGCCCGGCCGTGAGCCTCATCGCGGAGAGCACGGGCCTC